CGGATCCTATACGGATTGTATGGGATCCCCTACGGATCCTATACGGATTGTATGGGATCCCCTACGGATCCTATATAGACTGTATGGGATCCCCTACGGATCCTATACGGACTGTATGGGATCCCCTACGGATCCTATACGGACTGTATGGGATCCCTTACGGATCCTAGACGGACTGTATGGGATCCCTTACGGATCCTAGACGGACTGTATGGGATCCCCTACGGATCCTATCCAGACTGTATAGGATCCCATACGGCGTCTATACGGACTGTATGGGATCCCATACGGATCCTATACGGACTGTATGGGATCCCATACGGATCCTATACGGACTGTATGGGATCCCATACGGATCCTATACGGACTGTATGGGATCCCATACGGATCCTATACGGACTGTATGGGATCCCATACGGATCCTAGACGGACTGTATGGGATCCCCTACGGATCCTATCCAGACTGTATAGGATCCCATACGGCGTCTATACGGACTGTACGGGATCCCATACGGATCCTATACGGACTGTATGGGGTCCCTTACGGATCCTATACGAACTGTATGGGATCCCATACGGATCCTATACGGACTGTATGGGATCCCTTACGGATCCTAGACGGACTGTATGGGATCCCCTACGGATCCTATACGGACTGTATGGGATCCCCTACGGATCCTATACGGACTGTATGGGATCCCATACAGATCCTATACGGACTGTATGGGATCCCTTACGGATCCTAGACGGATTGTTCTCGCTTGGGTTCCCGATGGGGCGCTCTGGAGGTTCTGGGGGGAGGCGCCGTGAGAGGCGGGGCCCGAGGCCTCTAGAGGCTCGTCCTCCTCCTCCTCCTCCTCCTCCTCTACATCCTCCTCGTCCTCCTCCCCTTCCCCCTTCCCCCCATCCCCCTCCTCCTCCTCCTCCCCCTCCTCCTCCTCCTCCTCCTCCTCCTCCTCCTCCTCCTCCTCCTCCTCCTCCTCCCCCTCCGACGACAACGACGAACAATGCACACGCCCAAGCGATAACGAGGACCGCTGTCCCAGGTCCCCAGGGTCCGAGCCACGCCTGGGAGCCGGCTAACCACGAAAATAACCTCGAATGTTGATATCGCAAGAAGCGGTACGCGCAGGAGCAGAAAGAAGAAGAGATGGACCCCTGTAGGGGTCCCATGGGAACCTATGGAATCCTATGCGTGTCCTATGGGAATCCTATGGAAACCTGTCGGGGTCCTATGGGAGTCCGATGAAACCCTGTAGGGGTCCTAAGGGAGTCCTATGAAACCCTGTAGGCGTCCGATGGGAGTCCTATGGAACCCTGTAGGGGTCCCATGGGAGTTGTAAGGAACCCTGTCTGGGTCGTATGGGAGTCCTATGAAACCCTGTAGGGGTCCTATGGGCCTCCCATGGAACCCTGTAGGGGTCCTATAGGAGTCCGATGGAACCCTGTACGGGTCCTATGGGAACCCGATGGATCCCTGTAGGGGTCCTATGGGAGTCCGATGGAACCCTGTACGGGTCCTATGTGAATCCGATGGAACCCTGTAGGGGTCGTATGGGAGTCCGATGGAACCCTGTACGGGTCCTATGGGTGTCCCATGGAACCCTGTCCGGGTCCTATGGGAACCCGATGGAACCCTGTCCGGGTCCTATGGGAACCCGATGGATCCCTGTAGGGGTCCTATGGGAGTCCTATGAAGCCCTGTAGGGGTCCTATGGGAGTCCTATGGAACCCTGTCGGGGTACCATGGGAGTCTTCAGGAACCCTGTCTGGGTCGTATGGGAGTCCTATGAAACCCTGTAGGGGTCCTATGGGAGTCCCATGGAACCCTGTAGGGGTCCTATAGGAGTCCAATGGAACCCTACACGGGTCCTATGGGAATCCGATGGAACCCTGTAATGGGGGTCCGATCCAACCCTGTGCGGCTCCTACAAAAGTCCAATGGAACCCTGTACGGGTCCTATAGGAATCCTATGGAACCGTGTAGGGGTCCTATAGGAATCCTATGGAACCCTGTAGGGGTCCTGTGGGAGCCCTATAGAACCCTGTACGGGTCCCTGTACGCCCCGCGGGGGGGCGCGCGGGGAGAGCGTTGCGTTGCGTTGCGCTGCGTTGCGCGGGGGGGGGGGGGGGGGAGGGGCCGGTCCGCCAGCTAGTGGTTTCGTCAACAACAACAACAACAACAGCAACAGCAACAGCAACAACAACAACAACAACAACAACAACAAGGTACACCCCGGGACTGCGACCCCGTCACCCCCGGTTCCTCTCCCGGGCTCCCCCCCTGGCGCAACCCGGACCTGCCGCCCCGTGCGGACCAACCCCCCCCCCCCACACCAACCAACCAACCAACCAACCAGCTCTCGCTGCAACACAAAAAAAATCTGTAGATCGCCTATGGGGAGGAGGATGAGGAGGATGAGGAAGGACGACGAGGAGGACGGAGGGAGGAGACGGAGGAAGGAGGAGGAGGAGGAAGGACGACGAGGAGGACGGAGGGAGGAGACGGAGGAAGGAGGAGGAGGAAGGAGGAAGGAGGAGGAGGAGGAATGTGGACGGATCGCCAAGGACAGCCCTTGATCCAGGATGGCTACAGATAGCTCAGCAGGGCAGGGAGGAGCAGCCAGAGGAAAGAGTGGAACGAGGGGAGCTAATGAGGAACGAAAGGGGAGAGTGGGGTGGGGCGGCTGGGAGGGAGGGAGCAAGTAGGGAGCTACTCCACCCTCCTCCTCCTCCTCCTCCTCCCCCTTCTCCTCCTCCTCCTCATCACCACCACCACCACCACCACCACCATCACCATCACCATCACCATCACCATCACCATCACCATCACCATCACCATCACCATCACCATCACCATCACCATCACCATCACCATCACCATCACCATCACCCTCATCATCACCATCACCATCACCATCACCATCACCATCACCATCACCATCACCATCACCATCACCATCACCATCAACAACATGCATCATCATCATCATCATAAACATAAATCAACATCATCATCATCATCATCATCAACATGCTTCATCATCATCATAATCATCATCAGCAGCATCATCATCAGCATCATCATCCTCATCCCTCATCAGCATCAACAACCAACAACATCATCATAAATCATCATCAAGCAACATCATCATCAGCATCAATCTCCCTACTCCTCCTCATCACCCACACCACCACCACCACCACCACCGGGACCAATTCACCACACCATCAACCATCACCATCACCATCACCACAAAATCATCAATCATCATCACATCAAAATCATCATCAACAGCATCACCTCATCATCATCATCATCATCAACATCATTCAGCTCACCATCATCATCAAAATCACATCATCAGCAGCATCATCATCAGCATCATCATCCTCGTCTGCATCATCATCATCACCACCATCATCACCACTACCATCACCATCACCATCCCCACCACCACCACCATCATCATCATCAGCATCATCATCATCATCAGCATCAGCATCAGCATCAGCATCAACATCAACATCAGCATCATCATAAGCATCATCATCATCACCACTATCATCATCATCAGCATCATCATCAGCATCATCATCAGCATCATCATCAGCATCAGCATCAGCATCAACATCATCATCAGCAGCATCAGCATCAGCATCATCACCATCATCAGCATCATTATCATCAGCATCATCATCACCACAACCACCACCATCATCATCATCATCATCATCATCATCATCATCATCAGCATAACCATCATCATCAGCATCATCATTATCAGCATCAACATCAAATCATCATCATCATCATCATCATCATCATAATCATCATCATCTGCATCATCACCATAATCGTCATCATCGTCATCATCATCATCCTCTCTGCATCATCATCATAATCGTCATCAATATCTTCATCACCACCATCATCATCATCATCATCATCATCATCATCATCTCATCATCATCATCATCATCGCCGTCATTATCATCATAATCGTCCCCCTCCCCTCATCATCGTCCCTCCTTCCACTCATTATCATCGTCATCATCCCTCCCCTCCCGTCCCTCCTCCCTCCCCTCCAGCCCCTCCTGCTGCCGCTGCTTCCCTTTCCGCTCCCCAGAAGACATAAAGAGAGCGAGGAAGATAGAGAGACAGAGACAGAGACAGAGACAGAGACAGAGAGAGAGAGAGAGCGACGCACGCACGCACGCACGCACAAACGCACACACGCTCTCTGGCGGCCGCATGAAACGTAGACTGAAAGAGAAAACGCGCAGCATTGAATAGCAATATCCCTAAAGAGCCTTGGTGAACCTTGAGGAAGACGCCCAAGACGGCCCTCCAGGCCCCCCAGACGGCCCCAGACGGCTCCAAAGGACCCACCCAGACGGCGAGTGGGACCCCAGGATGGCCCAAGAGGTCCCCCAGAAGGGGGGGAATCGGGGGGAGGGGTTGGTTGGTTGGTGTGGGGGGGGGGGGCTGGGGGGCCAGACCCGGTGTCTTTCAGCAACAACAGCAACAACAACCACCACCACAACAACAACGACGACAACGACAACAACGACGACAACGACAACAACGACAGCAAGAAGAACAACCGTGTTACCCTCATGCGCGATGCTTCCACACGAAGCATGCAACCATCATGATAACCATCCCCATCATGGCGGCCGCTGGAGCCCTGCCAGGAAACAGAAGCGACGACGCGCCGCGCAGCGCCCCGCGCCCCGCGCCGCGCCCCTACAGCCGGCACCGGGGCCCTAGACGAAGGGCGGGGTCGCTCGGGGTCGGCGGCGCTGTCGGACCCGCCCAGGGCCGCTGCCGCGCGGTTCCGAGGGTCGCGGAGAGCTCGACGGCTCTGTGCTGCGGCGCTTGCAATTTTCTGCCCGCGGGTCAGACCGCGATTTCGCGCGCTGCGGAATGCGACCCGACGGTCCGCGACAGCGCAGACGAGCATCGCGCGCGATGCTCAACGAGGGGCCAAGAGCTCCGGCTCGCGGTCTCCCGGGCAACCGCCGTGCCCGCAGCCTCGAGGGTCACCGCGGGGATACAACCGACGGAGACGGGGAAGGGCGACGCGTGGCAGCGGTGAGACTGCTGAGTAGAGTGGATCGTAGTTCTGGCCTCCTCCTCCTCCTCCTTGGAGCCATGTCTGCTGGACTGCGACGACACTGGCGGGAAGCGACACAAGAGTGGAAAGGTTGGCGATCTTCCTAGACTGGCGGGGTAGTGAAAGTGGACAAAGGAGCTCCCGGCTTGCAAACGACAGCGCGGGAGAGGACGGGCAAGCTCCGATCCAGGGCCTCAGAGAGGGTTTAAAGAGACAACTCACCTGAGTCGTCGGTGCGCTCGAAGGGCGCGTTGACTCTGCCTTCGACGGTTGTTGTGCTGGAGGCTGGAGGCGCCTCCGCTCGGCGATGGGCTTGCGCCAGTGACTTCAAGGCCGCGCAGAGCTTCCCATTGTCGCGGTCGGCGTGCAACCTCTTGCCCGCGCAACAGATCCCGAGCTCTCTGCGAATTAGTTCGATGCCGAGCTCCCTGCGTATCTTAAAAGCGTTGTTGCCAACTCCAACCTATAAGCAAACTGATGCCGCCCACGGCAGTGCTGGCGATGAGTTAGTTCCACGAACCGTCACGATACCAGAGGGCGCGGAGAGCCTGTCGAACGGCTCTTGCTGCCCAGCCGGCAGCGCCTGAGATCTGGTGATGTGTTTCTTGGAGGCAGGCTGGGTGGCGGCCGTGGGAACCTCCAAGCCTTCGGTGTCGAGATTGGCTTCCACGGTCCACGGGCCAACACTATCACGCACTGTTTGGGCTGAAGCCATATCTTCACTGCGGCCGACCAGCATGGCAGGGTCCGCTGGGCGATTGGATTTTGTCGGGGTCGGAGGTTTGCTTGCTTCTTCACCTCTGACCACCCGCATCTGTTCCATGGACAACTTGGTCTGGATCTCAAGCTCGTCGATGCGGGACTCGTTCTTGGCCACGCGCTGCTCCACATTGTGCATGCGGAGCTCCACTCGCTGGTCGACAACCTTCCTGCGTTTTCCCCTGGTCGAAGATCGATTGGCGGCGGTGCCGGCTTGCAGTATAGCCATGGCAACCATGACCTCGTTGCGGGTCTGATCGACACGTTGGCGGAGGACTCGTGACTCAGGATCAGGAGCTGGTCCATGCACACGAGCATCAGCAGCACGAGGGGGCGAACCAGCACCACCAGTGTCGGCGCCGCTCAGCGGAGCGGCGTTGCGCGCCCCCCCCCCCCCCTCGTCGGTCGAGAGGCACGGGTCGTCGGGATCAGCATGGCGGCCGCGCGGACGACCACCCGCATCACGAAGGGTCCTCGGCGGAGGCATGGCGGCCCCAGATTTCCAGTCGGACTCATCAGCCATCTCGATGCGGCCACAAAGACTGGGTCGCACCCTTGGCTACGATAGTCGCCACGAACAGACTGAATGTATGGAGCGTCCGCCAGCGCACGACGCGCTGGAAAGTCCGAGAGAGGGCGGCCGCCAAGAATGGGATTCGATCCCACCTTGAGCCAAAATGGCAACGGACCCTCCTCCGTCCTCCTCCACCTCCACCTCCACCTCCACCTCCTCCTCCTCCTCCTCCTCCTCCTCCTCTTCATCATCAGCGTCATCATTATCAACAACAGAACCGTCAACATCATCAGCAGCATCAGCATCAGCATCAGCATCAGCATCAGCATGATGATCATCCTCATCATCAGCCATGATCATCATCACCCGCATCGTCATCATCACCCGCATCATCATCATCGTCATCATCATCACCATCATCATCAACATCAGCATCAACATCATCAGCAGCATCATCGTCAGCATAATCAGCATCGGCAGCATGCTCATCATCATCATCATCGTCATCACCATCGTCATCATCATCAGCAGCAGCATCGTCACAACCAACATCACCATCATCATCAGCAACAGCGTCAGCATCATCAGCATCATCAGCACCATGAACTCCTCCTCATCCACATCAACATCAGCAACATCAGCATCATAATCAGCATCCCCATCATCGTAGTCCTCGTCCTTCTCCTCATCCTGGGCAATCTGGGCAATCTGAAAGTGTCTGAGGCCGAACGGCGTTCAACTTCAAACAAAAGAAAAAGATTAGGCCCCCCCCTCCCTCCTCTGGGCGTCCTGCTGGAACTTGGTCGCCAGCTCGCCCAGCGGTGTCCTGCCAAGTGGCAGAGCTGGACCAATCCTGCACGGAGACTGTGGCAGGAACCCGCGGAGGAGGGTCCGAAGCTCCTTGGACTTCTGGTTGGGATGGCACGGCTTGGACAGTGCAAGGGCCTTCATGGTAGCGAACGCGCCACAACAAACACAAAAAAAAACCGGGGTCCCATGGGGGACCGCCCAAGCAAGATGCAGCTTGTGTTTGTTAAAATCAGGGGCGGCCAGGACCCTGAGGAGGGGCGCATTCAAGCGTCCATTGCACTTGAACCGAGTTCTACAGCTGATACGCCGTAGACAATACTCACATCTCCAGTGGTCACCAGCACAATAAGGAGCGCGTGGGTCTCTCGGACCCCGCCTACCTCTCGGCCCCGCGCTCCCCTTGTTGAGCTCCCCGAAGATTTCTCCCGGGGTGGGCCACTCAGAAAGGATAGACGCCATGGAAACACAAAGTTTGTAATAGCGCACAACAGTGCGATTTATTTCTTCATCCACGAGAGGAGGGAACTCATGGGGCCTAGCACCCTCTCTAGCTAGCCAATCAGCACATTTGTTGCCTCTGATGGCTTCCAGGTCTTCGGGGCTTTCAGCTTGGTTCTCCTCTCTGTGGGACTTGGTTTTCTTCACATTGATCCAGCCTTCTGGGATGTCAACGGCAATCTCACGGAAGAAGTGAGACGCCACCGAATTCTGGGAAAGGGCAGCTTGGGGGTTAAAGCCAGCCCTCAACAAGGCTCGGCAGTCAACTGCGAGGCTGCTGGGGAGGGTTCCTTCCGCGTGGATGGCCCCAACCATCGAGGCAGCATGCTCCCCAACACCAGAGCTTTGACCAAAAAGTTTGGGGACGGGACCAAAAATGGCACGGGGCAGGTTCCCATCCGAGTCAAGCTCGCAGACGCCAAAACCAGCTCTGGCCAACTCGCCTAGAGTTGGGCGGAGACAACTACCGTCAGAGCAAAGCCTAGCATCCCGAGTGAACTCAAACCCTTTCACGCGGGCCTTGGGCGTCTCTATACCTGAGGTCCCAGTCAAGCGCAGGCTCGGGGACATCGAACTTAGGAAGCCACGCTCTGGCATATAAAAGACTCCAGTCGCCAGCCGCAATGGCATCCTGGAGAAATTCAGGTGTGCACATCTCCTCTCTTTTTCCTGCGCCATGCGGGCACTCCCAGCACCTGTGGAAGGTCGTGTCTGGTTTGCCGCAGAACTTACATTCTAGGGGAACAGAAGAACCCCATCTCCTGAGGTTCTCGGCCGTGGGGACAGCACCCCCCCATGGCCTGCTTGAGGGCGCTGGCAACTCGAGGCGGCAACTTATGGGCAGAGCGCAACAACCTGGCACTGAGCTCCCACCAAAGCCCTCGCTCCTGTAGGGCCTGGGCTTCAGCACGCGGGTGGCGCTCAACAACTTTTCTGACAGCAGCTTGAATTCGGGCATCTTTAAATTGTGATACGAACCTCTTTGGCAACAAACACAGGGGAAATAACATTGAGCTCGATGCCAATCCCAAGTCGGTCAGCGACGACAGACGGGCTCTTGAAGGCCCAGCCACCCTCCCTGACCCACGCAATAGTATCAGAGATTGGCCCCTTGCCCCACTTAAACCACTGGCGCTTAGGTGGAGTTCTGGGGCCAGATGACTGAGCAGCTCTAAAAAGACTAGTGAGCATAGACGGGCGAAGGACATCCGTCTGTTGTCGTTGGAGGTCTTTCCTAAGGATGGTGGCCTGCCACCATTCTGCCGCGTAGCGTCGTAAAGTCATGCCTGCGACCTCCAGTGGATCCCTGGCACGAGACAAGCCGCACGCTAACTCCACGGCAACACCACGAATCGAGACTCCACTGGCTGCTGCAGCTGACTGCCTAAGCCTAGTTACATGGCATGGACTAAATGCATTGATGTCTCCTCCGTTGGTGACAGCGGGGATGGCATTCGTTGCTATGAGCCTAGCCTTATCGCCAGGTCTCTTAGCGTTAAATTTCTTTAGTCGAGCAACGCGCTGGCACATCTTGCGCCATCTCATGGCTCTAACGGCGTGGGCCTCGGGGTGAGCTCGGTGCTTTCCCGCGCGAAAATCAACGCCCAAGTTCGCAACCGAGTGCTCCCCATGGCCCCCATGAGTTTTACCTACCGCTTGTTTGGCAACTTCTAAAGCACGGTGAGAGGAAGCAATCATGCAAATCTTGTGATCGGCCAGTGGCAGGCCTAGCTGACTTACAATTCTGTGTCCTAATGATTTGAGTATGTCAGCCAATCCCTTGGCCAGGGCACACAAATCCGCCCCCCGCGCGTGGTGGGTGAGGTCATCAATATGAAGGGAGACAGGTGCATCCTGAGGCAGCGTGGCACTGTACTCCTCCACAGTTGGTTTTAATGCGATCTTGGCTTCAAACGTGGCTGGGGTCGACCCAGCAACGATGCCCCTTCGTGGGTAGACTCCTGGCATAAGCAACCCGTCATACAAGAGGTGACGGGGCCATTTGTAACTAATTATACTGACAAGCAGGCTGACCATTGGATAGTCACATGTATCAGCACACTGGAGCAGCAACGAATAAGGCACATGTTCATAGAACTGGAGCAAGTCCCACAACGCGGCCAAATCATGCATCTTTTTGTTAGCGGCTCCCTCCGCAAGGACCGCCTGCCTCCAGACAGTGTCGGTCGGGCTCCGAAACTGGGCGCAAGAGTACTCTGGCCCCACCCCCCCGCGGCTCCCCCAAACCCGCAACTCACCTCTTCCTAACTTGCTGCGCAGGCGGAACGCAGAAGGGTAGTGGCCCAGGGGGGCGTCGACCGCCAGCGGCCTTATGCGCACGCAAAACCACCGAGCGGCGAAGCTTTTGGGGCGCGCAACTAGTCAGGTCACTTAAAGGGAACAAATTAGCAAGCAGCCCGAGCGACTCGTCACGCAACATACTATAGTGTCGCGGGTGCCAGCCGTCAGGCTTGCACGTGCGCTGCTGATAGTTCGCAGCGCATCTGCGTTCGCTGCAGCTCTGACAGGGACAGGTAGAGGCCAGACAGATATAGGAGCAGGACGTTCCTCAGCCTTCCAGGCCTGGATCCACGTCTGCTTTTCGGCCTGCATCCGATTGGCGACCGAGGTCCTGTCCAAGGCGGGTCCAAGAGGCCCAGGGCCAGAGACGTCCACAGGGGCCTGCTTACCTCTTAAATAGCGGTGCGCCTTTCGCGCACCTTGCTCCATGGCGTCGGCGCACCACTCAGACTATTCTTTGCGACGAATCTGAGCAGCTGAGCACAGCATGCGATCGTGCATGAACTGGGCAAAGCTGATTATATGGTCCAAGGCGGCCTCCGTTTTGTCATTCGGGGCCTGGACCAACCAACGAGAAACAGAATTGGATGCCGCAAACTGCCCCCACGGGACCAAACCTGGCGAAGCGGGCCACCACGGACCAACGTCCACAAACACTGGACCGACAGGTTCGTGAGGTCAGCATGGTATCCAACTTTAAAACCTTGCCCCAGCAGGGATTTGAGACTGGAAAGCTTCTGAACAACCCAGTGCACGGCCAGCTGGGGGTCCACGCGCTTGTACGATCTGGTTTTGTAAAACTTCTCAAAGTGGGACCGACTTCCACTGGAAGTCCGAGCCAGCGGGCAAGCCAGAGACAATTGGCATGTCTGCCGCACGGCAGACTTCACTCCAGGCCAAGTCGTTCCACTGGTCGTTTACGGTGTCCAGCAAACTCAGCGCCTCCTCCTTTACAGTGCCCTGGAGCGTGTACTTGGCTGCAGTTCCACCCAGCGGCTCAAGACATCCATCAATATGGTTCAATAAATGTACATAACTTGGTGGTGGTAACATCGGGCCAAAGATCCTTTGAGTCGAGACATTCTGGTACGGTTCAACAATCTCCACCATCTGGTCCTTAACACCTTGTAGCGCAAGAAGAACAGGGCTGTGTGGCGAGGTAGGTGCATCACGCAGGACTAGTACCTCCACCAACATATCCTGGTGCCGACCAACCATGTAGTAGTCAATTGTTGAGCTGTGACCATCGAGCACGTAGGAGGGATTCTCTTCATTAGCCCGCGTGACACCTCGCAACTTCGTCAACGGGATGGCTGAGTTCAGCTTCTCTGGGGGGTTATTGGAATCTCCTCCAAAGATGTATGGGAATTGAACAGCATGAATCTGGTTGCCTGCAATCTCAAGGATTTTGAGATTCCTTGGAGTGAAGCCCTCGCCAACATATAGATAGCATGTCATGAGGGTAAGCTCACCAACATCATGGAGGCGCAGGTGGCAACGTGCAAGGCGTCCTCGTACCAGCTCTCCTTCATCTGGTGCCCAGGATTTGAGGCAATGCTTGACCAGGATGACGACTCCAGCCGAGGCGCGCCCTTTCTCCGTTATGCAACAAGGTCCCCCAAATGAGCGCCAACCAGCCTTTCTCAGATCATTCATGACTTTGATATATCGAACCTCATTCCAAACGATGTTCCTGGACAGATATTATATCGGCAAAGCTGAGGGCATCCATAATAGTATCATGTGTGTTCCAGCTCGAGCCATTGATGGTTACAACGTTCAAACCCTGCCGCTTCTCAGTTTTGACCTTCGGTCTCGGTGGCAACGAGGGGACCTGCATGGTCTTGAGCGTGAAGGGTGAAATTTGTCGTGGTCCATTCCGATGTGCGTTCTTACACCCCAGGTGGTCGGTACCCTCTACCCTCTGAGGCCTTGGGGCTGCGGGCGAGCAGTGCGTGCCACATGGGGTGATATATATGGGTCCAGCCTCATGGCGACTAGATGAACTCTGTGATCCTGACCTGGTAGCCCAGTTTGCCGACGGCGTACTCTGGGTCTCTCGTGCCACCAGCCCTGGATCCAGGCCAGCTGGTGGGGAGGCTACAGAGGGCTGGGGGGCCTTCCTCTGGCGAGGCGCAGCCCTTGGGGAAGGGCTGTCATTAAGAGCAGCATACGCCAGCTCACCAAGCCTGGGTGGCACCTCACAGCCTTGAAGCATAGTATCCATCCACGAAAAAACTGTAGAAGCTGCAGGCTGAGTGGCCAACCTGACGCAAGGCGCAGCCCTTGGGGAAGGGCTGTCATTAAGGGCAGCATCCGCCAGCCCACCAAGCATCAGTGGC